TCTTCTTCTTCTTCTTCTTCTTCTTCTTCTTCTTCTTCTTCTTCTTCTTCTTCCTTGCCATCGTTGTCGTTTTTTTGGTTGTATTCACGTTTTTCTCCCTTTATCTAGATTCTTCTATCCAAAGAGCATAGCATTTTGATTCACCATGGCCTGGTGGTTTAAATTGGCCCTCGCTTGTTTATCGTCATGTTTTCTTTGCACTAGTACTTTACGTTTCACAATGCGAACTTTGAGAAATGAAATTAAAGAAGATACTGCATATAAAAACCCATGGATTAGCAGCTGTCTGGTGAACTACCAAGAAAAAGAGAATGATCTAATCAAAATATAAACAACAACAGCAAAACCCCTAAAACAAAACAAAAACAAAAGCACAAAAACTCAGAGAAACACACTCAAAAATTTATGAGAGAACATTGCAATGTCCAAAGAACTTAATCAGCGGCCTACTTGTCTTCTCAGGGATATAAGTTGAATTATGATTTAACTTGTTTTATTCTGCTTCACCACAACTTGTCTCGGTCCCTTTACCAAATGAAATCCCTCGATTTTACAACTGGAATATTCACAGTTAAACTTAACTCTTACAAGTCAGCACATCTACTGACTGGACGCTGCATTAATATGATTTTTTTCTTGTTTTCCTCATTTGATATAACTGTCTGCTAATCTGTATTAACCTGCCTCATGTTCATCAAATCTTCATTTCTGAAAGAAGGTATATTGGTAGGTAATACATTATAAGCTTGTAGCTTGATAACTGCCTTTTTTACGAGGAAAATGCTAACGTATGTCTATTTTCATCGAAACTTGACTCAGAAAACGGGACATATGCAAACCACGTAAAAGAGCTAATGACTCCAGCCGCTCTAGGTCTTCAAATTTAACATCAAGGGTGCATGTATTCGAATTTTTCGTCAAGCCAGCAGGCTGTATCTAAAGTATGTCTGTGTGTCCCCAGCTGCGCATGCACTTCGACGGCTACACTCTCAAGGCTAATGGCATCCGGGTCTTGGATGGGCAGATCGTGGCCCAGACAATCGAGGAGTACGCGCGGAGGGGAAGCTACCCGAGCTATGAGGCGCCGTTCTTCAACAGCAAAGCTCGCGCTGTGTACAGGCTGGTACACTCCACGGGCATGGTGAGTATTATTACGGCATTGCATACAGAATGTGTTGTACGGATTTTACAGCCCTATGAATAAAGTTATGTTTATAATAATTTAGGAAGCGACCTATTCATCTCGTCTGTCTGTCTGTCTGTCTGTCTGTCTGTCTGTCTGTCTGTCTGTCTGTCTGTGTCTCTGTCTCTGTCTCTGTCTCTCTCTCTCTCTCTCTCTCTCTCCCCCCCCTCTCTCTCTCTCTCTTGGCCAAGCAAGTATGTGTAAAATGCATCCCAACAAAGGAGGTGTTCGATACAGATAGAATATAATAGTATGTTCCACTTCAGAATTAGGCTTATTGTTTTTCCTGTCTTGCAAAGAGTTTGGCTTTATCACCACGGACCCAGTAGTATAGAATATTACTTTTAGAATGGGAGATCTCGTTTTTCAAGATTGATTTATCAGTTCTGAGACTAGATCTATATTATATTATTTGTAAAGTGAAGGGTAGCGTAATCTAACCTTTTAGTTTTTCCTTGTCCCTTGGGGAACATCTTCACCAATAACCTTCCTAGCAGGGGGATGAATCGATACAGTAAACAAATTTGCAAAGTTCTCTCCGACATTTTCGGGCGTTTTAAGTCTGCTCTGTCAAAATCATAGGATTATTCGGAATCGTTTCCAAGATATTCAAAGAGTTGCTTTTGGAAAAGCTGGACATGCTGTGAAACTCAAAATTTTTAGCGTCAAATTTCTCAAATCTAGGTACTGAGCAGATCGAACTTTATAATTTTCTAGGAAGCGAAATATTGACGAAACCAACGACAACAGTGAATTCCTGTCTGTCTGTTTAAAGACGGTGTTTACCGACGGCGCAGTTGGTATCGCATTATACCATTTTTCAGATGACTGTAGTTTGTACCCCTGAAAGGCCTTTCTGGAGACTCTTTCTAACTTGCTCTATTCTATCGGAGGTGAATGTCATATCCTGGGGACTCGCATTGTTTCAAATGAGCTTGTGATACTCTTTTCAGGTGAAAACGTACATGTACAACATTGACGACTTCCAGTTGAGCGAAAAAACACAGAAGAAGTTTGCCATAGACTGGATGGTGGACACTCGAAAATGGGTCAAAGTGAGTGTGTCCCCGAACTGATATTACATTTAACAACAGTGTTGTGTCTCTTCTTCGGGGCAGGAAAGTTCAGGGGGTTGGGCTTAGTGTTGGTCCCGTGACAGAGACTGGAGGAAGAGTAGAGTTGTCAATTGTGAAACGATGCTTAACTATAATTATGGAGAGGCAATACAAGAGTGTGAGTATGTGTTTGATGTGAGATGGATTGTCAACATGAAAGTTAAATTTTAAAAAAACCCACCCACATTGAATAATGCTAGTTCTTAAAGTGTTTATATGAGAATCCACTTGTACGAGTATTTTAGCAACAAAGATTAACACAAACTCAAGAGGTGCACTAAGCCATAATATGCAAGAGCGTGCAATTAGTGTTTTCGGTAATGTTTTCACAAATTAAGTGTGGGTGGTTGGCGGGTGCTCTGGTGTGGTTTGCTTCTTCTTTCCTATCAAACGTCTATCGTCCTGATCTCTCCTCCTCCTTCTATTTTGTGTTTGTTACTCTCTTGTAACACCTCTAATCTTCGGCACTTATATGACCTTATTGTGTTGCAAGTGCCGTAAAACTCTTACTAAAACTAAACAAATTAAGTATGATCCCCGTATCGTACTATCTACATGTATAATTCTGAAATAAAATAATATCTCATCACGAGTGGCAGTTTGCCCATTCACATCCAGGCCTGATCTACAGACTTCAACATAAGTTAAGCACCACTTTGACAGACATCCCTGATTTGTTAAAATCCCCTCCCCCCCCCCCCCCCCCCCCAAAAAAAAAAAAAGGCAGCAAGGAATGTTTCAATTTTTTTGCTCTGAAAGAGTTAATGAGTCAACAATGTATACTTCTGTGCTTCCTAAAAGGGCAAAACCACCATGTGCAGCATGGAAACCCTCGGCGAATTTTAGCCAAATTTGCAAGTGGTCCTTAACTTATTATGTTGAAGTCTGTATAATCCCACCTTAGCGCGTGTACAGTCTCGGGCGAGTCACTGATGGAGTTAGGTGTAAGCGCGGGCGCCAGTTAAAATAGTGTTTGGGGGTGAAATTATGAAAATTATGGTTGTTATTTACTTATTTTCCTGGACATTTTCTGAACATTGTCCAGAAACGTATGTAAGAGTTTCTGTACCCTAAAGTGGTGTTTGAAGGGATTTTAGAGTAGAAGGTAGAGACGTTTTAAAGGGGAAAAATAGACAGTTTTTTCTTTTAAAAACCCCCCACCTCTTACATGCTTCAGATTTAGAAGGAAGCCCCCATTCTATTTCTGATGTGTTAATATTATTAAGCATGTTTTAGTTTGGAATGTGTTCTAAAGGTTTTCACAAGAAAGAAAACCATTTTGGCCTTTTTCTTACATCAGCCGTTTTCTCAAAATGCTTTTTTTCCACACATCTTTCCACTTTCTGCTTTGTTTCTTATTCGATTTTATTGTAACTTTCACAGGATATTAACAACACCTAGTTGTAACAAAATTGTGTATTGGAATTTTTGTTTGCATTTGAAGTTTTTGACAAATGGCATCAGTAAGCTTACATTTTCCGGTATTTCACAGATATGCATTAAGCCGAGTTTTAGACAATGACAAGACAATGACAATGACAATCTTTATTCATCTCGCAGGGAGAAATTTGTCTTGGTCGTTAACAATGGCAGTAGACGTTACAAAAGTTCGACTTAAAGGTGCATCCACGCAAACTCACAACAAGACAGAACATTAGGCAAAGTAAATACATGTCTCACGGGCTGGGACAACCCGCTCCGTAAAACATTCATTCGCTCTCTCTCTCTCTCTCTCTCTCTCTCTCTCTCTCTCTCTCTCTCTCTCTCTCTCTCTCTCTCTCTCTCTCTCTCTCTCTCTCTCTCTCTCTGTTTCATTTGTAGCACTGTGTGTTCAGTAACCCCACTGCAGTTGGTACGAATGAATTTCTATATCTGTCTGTTCTTGCTTTTTTGGAAATGTATCGTTTACTGCAGGTCGATGTTTGAAATTCCGATGTCAGTGGGTGGCTATGGTCACCAAGCATTATTTCCGCCTTTTTTAGAACGTTTGTCTTGTGCAGATATTCAAAGTTACTTAGGTCTCTACCAATTGTTTTTGAAGCCCTTCTTATCAACTTGTTTATTTTTATAATGTGCTGCCTTCCCAGATTGCTACCATAGCAAGTGATACCAAAATTTATCAAAGTTTCTATAGTGGTGGTGTAGAAAATCTGACGGATGGATGGATTCGGATTGAAAGACTTTAGTTTCCTCAGAAAGTACAGCCTCTGATTTACCTTTTTAACGATATTGTTTACGTGGTTTTGACATGTAAATTTGTTGACCATTGTAAGGCCAAGATATTTGTATGAATCCGTGATTTCAATAGTTTCTTGTTCAATTACGAGTGCCATAAAATGAAAACTGCAAGTTTTTTAAAATGATAAATAAATGAATAAAAAGGGATTAACATGGGTAAACAAAATCCAATTTGACTGCCATTTTCAAAGCAACCGAATCATAATATTTACTATTTTAAACAACTGATTAAAAATCCCCAATAAGACATGGTGCCCCACAGCAAAGATGGGCTCTTTGGGGTTTGTAATAGCCGAGATAGACTTTAGGTGTCAATCCCCTCTTAAAGTTGACAATGTTGTTTATTCACATTCGACCCTTTATGATTTCCTCTCCTCACCCAGGTTTTCCGCACAGATGCCAATGGACAGGTGACGTTCGGTATGAAGAGAGACCTGGAAGAGGCAGTTGGTCTTGGCGCCAGTGTTAGGCTGGACATTGAGCAGGATGAACTGGCCGGGCAATTCTTTACGGAGGCTGATAACGTGCGACTAAACTTCTTTACCACCGAGGTCAGAACTCATGGACGTGTGAAGTAGAGACTGACAAACATACTCCAACAAATACAATTATAAGCCAGTTGCAGCGACCACGAGCATTATTATGTCCTTACAAAAAGAGCAATAAAAGATATATTATGTATATTTGGTTAGAGTTTTGCGACGCTCACTACTACATTATACAGCCATATTATCATAAGCGCGCACAAAAAGGCAGCTATACTTCTAACAGACCGATAAATAGCTCCCAGTTGGAAGCTTATGGTCTTTTTTAAAATTGTAAGCGGTTTACGCCCCGTCTACACAGTTTTTAAGATCCAGGAGGCGAGCTTTGACCCTGACTGTCGCGGTCTACCCTGGCTGAGGGGATACAACTTCCGAGCAAAAAGACTGAGATACTCCATGAACATTTCCCCAACAACGAACTTTAACTCAAGTTTTCTACGTGTGGCGACGAAGCGATTTACCGCAACACCACACACTCCAATGTTTTAGAGTCAGCACCTCGGAATGTATATCCACATCTAAGTGGGATGATGAGCCACGAAGACGCCCCAAACAAATTTGGGAAAGCCTTCTACTCTTGGAATTTGAATCGGATTCCTCTCACAACAGACATGAAGGACACCAATTCTCGTAACGACGCTCCCGTTCCATCTCCGCCAAGATGTATACCGTGGTTTTATCTTAAGAGCGTAAACGTTCAGTCCTTAACAGTTTCAAAAGAGTATTTTTGGTGAAAATATCCATTCCCCCTAAAACGCCCCTCTCCGTCTTTTTTTACTGCGTGCATTATCTGTTCCGAGAAAGAACTGGAAGAACGTGACGTGAGCTGCTCATTAACAAAAACAATAAGGATCCGATAAATGCAGTTATTTCTAGGACACCTGATTCGCAAACAAGCTATTATGTCTTGCTCCCAGTGGAACAATAGAAGATAAAAAAGGAAAGCGTAAACCCAAAGAAACTTATTTGGAGAACCCGAACAGATGGGTGACAGTGAATCAGAAATATACTCGTAATATAGGATTATTTTAGAGAATCTGAGTGGAGGAATCAATAGAGAACCACATTCACCGATGTCTGTTTCAGATTTTGGCACTTAATCATGATGATTATTACTTATTGACAGAAAGCTGTAAACAAAGAGGAGTATGCAATTTTGATAAGCAATCTTGATTTCACAGAATGTGCACTCCATGAAGTCGAGTAATGGTCTCTTCTTCCTCATCAAGGTTGTAACGATACTGTGTCCTTGGAAAAGTCACATTACACAAACTTTCCTCATCTCACACACATGTGAGTGGATACCCGGCCATAGAGAGTGAAAGATCTTGTCAGTATGTTAATGTTTTAGAGCAAAATAGCTGCCTGCAAAGCAGCCCAGGAATTTGAAATTGTTTTGGAACGCTGTCAGGTCTACTATGATAATAATATAGATTGTAAAGCGCACAGAGCTTTCTGTTGAGCGACAAATTAATGCTATTTATTGCTATTTATTTGTTGTGTTGTTTCTTTCAGATATATGCCCAGGCCTTGAAGCACGTGAGTGACCAAAAGCAACAGTCCGTGGACGAATACATTCTGCAGAGTGATATCTTCCGGTGGTCGCTCATGGTCAGCACCAACGGCGTTGTTGCCATGAACGCACGTAGACTGACGTCAAAGACGCACTTGTACGACGCCGTCTCCCCGGCAACAAATGTCACGTGGTTTGTCAACATCTAGAGTCCACTAGAAGGGCAACCGGGAGACTACAACAGAGAGTTTTAAAACAGATATTGAAATGGAAAGACAGTCTACCTTGGGTAAGATTGACAACAGAACTAGCTAACAAATCGTTGATATCAGTCATTGGTTTCTTTCCACTCGACATTTGCTTCTGCTTGTTGAACATAGATCTAAATGTTTTAATATCTTCTGGGGATGGGATCAAGTCCCCGAGACAGTAAGGAATCATACCCGAGAAACGTTTTCACTGCTTCAACTGCAGCCTGTAGAAATGAAAACATCGAAAAAAACCCAACAACAACCAACGAGCTAGACAGTTTGAAAATGATCATAAGAACTGTTATTTCAAACATATCAAAGGGAGACTTTTTACTGTGCAAGCATATCTTTATCTGTACTTATTTATTTAACATTGGTTCCTAAGTATTTCTAATGTTGATTATCGCAGGTTTTGTGAAAGTAGTGAGCACAGTATATTAATCTAAGTTGCGCTACATAATGCGTGTTCGTTGCACGTGTGCAAAACAGCATAATATATGCAAGCAGTTTTAAACACATAAGGGCACCCGTGTCTTTAATTAATTATCACACTAAACATAAATGAATGCACTTGCACCCACGATCATAATCTATGACATGCACATACTCACATAACAATCAAATATACACTTAAAAATCCTATCGGTTTCTTTTGATTTCGGGGCTAGGGAAAAAAAAAAGGGGGGGGGGCTGTTCCATCGAGTTGCTGCTAACAAGGGGACTGAACAAATATTAGCACCATGATATTTTGTCTGCGATGGTTGCAGGGCTTTGAATTTTATTTTTGGAACGTTGTTTGATGTACAGTGTGCTCATTAAACCTGGTCAATTGAGATTTTTCACCCGACTTTATTGTTTTGTCTTTGTTTGGCTTCTTTTGATCAGATAACATCCGTTTTATTCTTATGAACGTGTCTAGGGGACCCCCCATATTTGCCTCGGCTGTAAGAGGATAAGATATTTTTTATGCTCTCTTTGCATCTCAATGTCTTTCTCTCTCTTTCTTTCTCTCTCTCTGTCTCTCTCTCTCACTGACTCTCTCTCTCTCTCTCTCTCTCTCTCTCTCTCTCTCTCTCTCTCTCTCTCTCTTTCTCGCTCTCTCTGTTTCTCTCTCACTGTTTCAAGACCTGTCTCTCTGTTTCCCTCTTCCACTTTCTTTCTCTTTATCCCAGGCTTTGTCTGTCTCTGACTGTCTATCTGTCTGCCTGCCTGTCTGTCTCTCTCTGTCTCTCTGTCTCCTTCTCTCTCTCCCCCCCTCTCTCTCTCTCTCTCTCTCTCTCTCTCTCTCTCTCTCTCTCTCTCTCTCTCTCTCTCTGGTTGTATACCAACTCCGTGTCCAGCTAAATATTCAAGTACTCCACCATCAAGCCGACCTAATCTATTCGTTTTAGAGTGTCGAACGACACCATATTAATAACCAACTTTCAAAATCAAGAATCTACTCTATATTATCAGGCGTTTGTGGTTAGGCTCTTTGTCTTGCACGCAAAAGATGTGAGTTCAATTCTCACATGGATATGTATATTTCATTGAGTTCTTTTTTGGAAAGTGTTTTACGGATATGAGCGCGCGTGACACATTTTCAGTTGCAGGAAATTTTGAATGTTTTGCCTGGGTGGCTGCCGAAGCCTACTTTTATCGATTTTGGACCACCAAGGGATCTCTAATGTGAGCGACTTGCACACATGACCTCTAAGATTGTTCGCCCTTATCCGAGAAGGCTAGGAGATCTTTCCTACCAGAAGATCAGGGGCGTGGTTGAAAGACAGTAAGAAGGAGCCAAGGAGTAGCAATAGAAAGGCTTCAGAAAAAGTCAGGTGCCAAGAGAAAGGGGTATAGGAGATGAGGGGGGGGGGGGGCAGAAAATGGAGACGAAAGCAAACGACAGAACATTGTTAGAGAGCAGGGTAGGATGTGAAAGGAGACACCTTTACAGAAGAACATTTTTCGTTCCTAAACGGATTCGAACCCCGTGACCTATACTTTGAATGAGAGGCGAATTAACCTCTAGACCACGAGAGCCCCCATTTCTATCTTTTTGCTGGGATTCTTCATCCAACAGGCCGGGTCGGCAATCACAAGCAGGGCCAACAATGTCCAAACTGTCTGTGGGAGCGTAAAATATTTCTAACCAATTGTCCTATAAAGCTTATTTTGTCCAGAAAGGCCACCCATTGTCGAGGAGAGAAGTGTTTGTCTAAAACAGGTAGACGTCTTGGGCCGTATCTATGTGTATATATATATATATATATATATATATATATATATATATATATATATATATATATATATATATATATACTAGCTGGGCCCCCTTTCATGGAAAGGAATGATCGGTGCTTATCAACTGAAAGTCATTGGCCTACTATATACACTCTACTGGAATTGGGTAATAAATCTTGAGAGATGCAAAAAATTATAAGATCTAGATCAATACTATACTCTCAAAACAAAATGCGCCTCGCAAAATATCACTTCCGGATTTTCTAAAATTACAGAGACAGAAGCGTCGGCCTACAAAAGCGATCGGCGAAATAAATAAATTTAGTTTTTTACAGAAAAACTGTCTCAAAACTGAAAAAACAAAGGGTGCCATGCTCTGGAGAATATTTTAAAGAATCTTTTGGCGAAAACCGCATGTCGATCGATGCAGCCATTAAGAAGCCTTTTGAATAGCAAAATTCGGCCACCACAAATAGATAATAGATAATATATATATATATTATAAATTATTTTTTTTAACATACAAGGGGGAAGCGGGAAGTGATCGCATAATTCTTAAGATACCTCTCAAAAAGCATGGAAGACCATTAATTAATCTAGTTTCAGTATCTGCCTGTGAAAGAATGTATTTTCTTGTTTTTGTCAAGTGTTTTACGGCGCTCGCAATTGCATAGGTCATATGAATGCGCGGGACACTCCTAATATTTTCAGTTGGTAGGAAATTTTGAATTTTGCCCGGGTGGCGGCCGAAGCCTACTTTTATCGATTTTAGATCACCAAGGGATCTTTAACGTGCGCAACTTGCACACGGGTCGTCCGAGATTTTTCGCCCTTGTCCGAGAAGGCTAGGTGTAGATCTTTCCTACCAGAAGATCAGGGGTGTTGCAGAAAGACAGCAGTAAGGAGGAGCCAAGGAGTAACAGTAGAAAGGCTGCAGAAAGAGTCAGGAGCCCAGAGGAGGCCGCAAAGGAGGTGAGGGGGTGGGGGCAGAAAATAGAAATGAAAGCAGACAACAGAACATTGCTAGAGAGCAGGAAAGGAGGTGAAAGGAGACAATTTTAGAGAAGAAAATTTTTCGGTCGCTACCCGGATTCGAACCCGGGACCTTTGAATGAGAGGCAAACACCTTAACCTCTAGGCCACGAGAGCCCCCAAGAATGTATTCAGTACAAGACAGTAACAGTTGTCTTTTGTTAAGTCACTCAACAATATTGGCCCATCATACCTTCGCGACATGGTCATCGAGCATAATGCTATCTTGACCTTTAAGATTGACTAATTAAAGACTTTAAAAGCCTGTCCGGAGTAAAACTCCAGTCGGAGAAGCGGAGTGAGAGCATTTTCACACCAAGAGCCCCCCTCCCTTCTATGTGAAATGCATTACTAGCACCTCTATGGGAGTCAACCACTTCAACGCAATTAACATCGGCTCTAAAAACTCGGGGGTTTTTTTCAGATGCATCTTGACCGAAATTCAGAAAACAAAATATATCCTTTCATATATTTATTAAATACACATACACACACAAACACCCCCCCCCCCCCCGTCCACACACACACATACACACACATACACGTACGCACACGTACCCACACATACACTGTCTCTCTCTCTCTCTCTCTCTCTCTCTCTCTCTCTCTCTCTCTCTCTCTCTCTCTCTCACACACACACACACACACACACACACACACACACACACACTCACAAACACGCATACACACTCATATACAAATCTACATATATTCTGTAAAAGGGGTCGTGTGTCGTTAGCAATATGTACATTGAGTGTGTGCAAGTTTTTTTAGTGGAACTCAAGCGTGTATACGGGAGTGTGTGTGTGTGTGTGTGTGTGTGTGTGTGAGAGAGAGAGAGAGAGAGAGAGAGAGAGAGAGAGAGAGAGAGAGAGAGAGAGAGAGAGAGAGAGAGAGAGAGAGAGATAGGGGGGGGGGCGGATTGAGGAAGAGAAAGGGTCGTATTGAAACCTTATGATTCCATATTCTTTTTGTCAATGTAAAGCATATTGAGTACTGTCTTAGTGGAAATACGCTGTGTACGTCAAATTTATGTTATAATTATTATAATTATTATTATTATTATTATTATTATCACGATCATTATTATTATTATTATCATGATCGTCATTATTATTACTATTATTAATATTATTATTATTATTATTATTATTATTATTATTATTGTTATCATCATTATTATTATTATAAAATTTTTATTATTATTATCATCGCTATTATTACTATCAGTATTTTATCATCATCATCATCAACATTAAAAAGCAGCTTGGTATTGTTCTTAAGAATAAGATGGAGAGTTGCATTATTGGAAAGAGATAACAATGAATCAGGCGGACTCACTGCCTGCACAGTGAGGCCATCGATGTCTAAAAGAACCCAGCTGAGGGGATAGAGTGCTCGGTGGAAAAACACTAGGATCCGACAGGAAAGGATTCCTATCGTGGTTAAGATTGTCTAAATGACAAATAATGCTGTCTTAACCTCACGGGGCCGATGTCCATGCACTGACCCGATCACTAGAAGCCTCAACCATCGGCCTGTCGGATCCAAAGGTGAGACGAGGTCAAGGGCGCAACACAAACAAATCATTCATTGACACCAAGATCTCTCTTTTGTTTCTCTCCTCTCTCTTTCTTTCTGTATCTCTCCTCTCTCTATGTATCTCACCTCTCTCTCTCTCACTCTCCCCCCTTTCTCTCTCTCTCTTTCTCTCTCTCTCTCTCTCTCTCTCTCTCTCTTTCTCTCTCTCTCTCTCTCTTTCACTTTCACGTGATTTTGAAGAGTGATCAAGTGGGCTGCACTGTTTTGCGTCGAATGACGTTCGCCCGTCTCCTTCTATTTTCTTGAGCAATATTAATATCCAGTGCCGGACTGCTACGCCCGTCACAGTTTCACCAGAGCTCTGTTAGGTTGTAGACACAGTGGACATCCCGCCCATCTTACGGGCCGGGAGGTAGAAGGGCCGTGCAGGGAGGTAGACGGGACCAAAACAGTTATCTTACTGCCCAGTCCGTTCTAGTTTCAATTGCACATGTTGCAAAACGAAAAGGGAGGATGAAAAGCTCCAGTTGATGTTAATGCTAATGAGAGAGAGAGAGAGAGAGAGAGAGAGAGAGAGAGAGAGAGAGAGAGAGAGAGAGAGAGAGAGAGAGAGAAGAGATAGAGAAGAGAGAAGAGAGGCAGGAGGAAGACAGACAAGAAGCAATGAATACTGAATCAATAAACGAAATGACTTACTGTCGATTCCCTCCTTTTCCCCAATTTCTTTCCACTGTTTTGTGAGAAAAATTCTGTTTGAGTACTGATCACATGTTTTATCATAGATTGGTGGCCTTTTTGCACAGCTGCAATCAGTCCTTCGTTTGCCGATGTTTCCGTTTTGAAAAATTGTAGGCCAACTGGGGAGGTAGACGGGTGTAAAATAAGCTCAGATCTTAAACCGTCTGGCCCGACAAAGCCACGCCCAGTAGACGGGACTGTGCCGGATGATCACTGTGGCTGCGATAACTACAGACTTCAACATAAGTTAAGGACTACTGCAAACACTCTCGCAGCACAAACAGGTGAAAAACAAAACATTTGAA